CATCCAAACTCAGCCGCCGACCGAAAAGGCAAGTGCAGGCAATTATCACAGCCTTCGCGCGCCGTGGCGAAATGACCTCTTGCTTGACAACCCCCAATCCATCTTGAATGGCACAAATGGGCTCGTACCCATGACAGGGCATGCAGTGTGCGTTGGCACAACAAAAATCCTACCAATGGCTTGCTCTGTTCGTGAGTTTCACTCACACTGGCATCCACTTTCCAGTCTGCTCACCTCTTAGCTTGCAGTTCGCAGCACATTCCCTTTGGAAGGATGCGAGGTGTCTCTCGCAGAGCACACATAGCCACAGGAAATTCTCCCACAATTATTGCCTGACAATCTGCCTTGCTATGCCACAAAGGAGTGCAGTTATAAGCATGCATTGGTTCATTCGTGCATACGCAGCAACAGCCCCATGACCTTGAAGCAGGTTTGCATGTACCTCACTACCCAAAATCACCACACAATCCATCCTCCCAAGGCCATCGTTGTGTCGAACAAACGGGCACGGTCGTGGTGTGTGCAGGCTACAGGTGAGCAGCCAACAGGTGCAGGCAGGTGGGAGGGCTAGCAGAGTACTGCGGTACAACTTGGCGTTCAACAGGGGCACCCCATAATGGCATCAGCCCAGCCTGCCTAGTTGTTGTATGAGTGAGTGATGCTCTGTGTAGCAAGCGCTCACAGGCCGCTTCAGCATCATGGTTGTAGGTAGGACGCAGTACTTGTGCGATGTGCGATTGGTGCAAAGCACAGTCATCGCCCAGCTGATGGCATGATGGCAACCAAACGAGACCCATGCTCCTATGCATCGCCCAGGCGTTTACACTTTGTGCACGGAACATTTTCAAGCTTGCACATACGCCACACCCCACGGTGGTACACAGATCATTCTCTCCTTCCCGACACACGCGATAAAATAGACGCCTTCTGCTGTAACGACGTCATTAGTGGGCACCTTCGATCGGGTGGACGCTCTCGCGACGTAAGTTGGTGGTTGGAGCCGCTGTGCCGCTGTGCGCGTCGCTGTTTCGAGTGCCGCTGTACGCACGCCAGCCGAGTGCCGCTGTGCACTGCAGCTGCCCTTGCCCGCCTGGTTCATGGATGTAGCCCTTTAGACGCCCTTGCATTGTGCCGCCTGTTCCATGCAGCGGCTTCAGCTGGAGCGAGCTTGCTGCACACAAAGCAACTCCGCGCCAAAAGCACTGACATCGGCATAGGCTAGGACAACGGCAGAGGCGGCGCGCCGCGCCGTGCCAGCGGCATCAGTGGCGCTGCCGCCAAGCACGGGGCGCATGCGGCTGGGCCCGTGGCGCCTTGGCAGCAGCATCCTCCCCACCGCCCTCCAGGGGTACCCGTGCCTGCCAGGCAAACCAGCAGCCCCGCAGCAGCCATGGCCCTCGCGGGCTTTGAGGACTTTGACATGGACGACCTGCAGCAGCCAGAGGAGGAGCAGCCACCACCACTGCAACAGGCGGCGCTACTGCCTGCAGCACCCTCCCTGCCGCCATCGCTCGCGCCAAAGCCGCCAGCGCCCTCGCTGGCGCCGTCCCTGGCACCATCCTTGATGCCGAGCCTTGCTCCCAGCCTCGCGCCCAGCCTCGCGCCCAGCCTTGCTCCCAGCCTCGCGCCCAGCCTGGCGCCCAGCCTGGCACCCAGCCTGGCGCCCTCCCTCGCACGGCCAGCAGCAGGCGGCGGTCCGGCGGCGGCCGGCGCAGCGGCCGCTGCGGCCGCTGCGCCGGCTGGCGGCGGCGGCTACAGCTGGCTGGAGGCGGCCACGGCTGCGGCGGAGCCGGATGACGAGGCGGGTGACGGCTGGGCTGACCTGGACGAGGCGCTGGGCCTGGATGACGACGGCGAGGGCGGGGCGGGCGGCGGCAGCCAGCACGGCGGCGGCCGTGAGGAGGAGGGGCGGCGGGGTGGTGGCGGCTCGCGGCGGGCGCGGCGGGGGGGCGGCGAGGGCGACGTTGACTCTGACGACCTGGGGCTGGATGACGCGGGGGCTGACGAGGACGGCGGCGGCGCGGGGCAGGTGGGCGGGGTGCAGGCTTTGGGACACCTGCCCAGGTGGGGGACAGCGAAGATTGTCCAGCACTTGCAGTAAAGCAAGGATTGAGGGCTGATTGCAAACGCAAACACTGCGATATCATAGCTTCAGTGCCAAAACCTCACTGCCGCCCTCACCACACCTCCCCCCCTTCCCTGCTCAAGACCCCTGAGCCAGAGAAGGACCGCTTGGATGACATGCAGGTGGTGGACGAGGAGCACACCGCCACAGTGTGAGTGGGGGGGGGGGGGGAGGGGCGAGGCCACCAGGCGCCAGGGTGCCCAGAGCACAGGCTGACGCACTACGCAGTCATATATCCTCACACCAGCACTAGCCAGCACCCACGCTTTTGCAGAGCCCAAGCCCAACCACTGGGCTCTGATACCTCACTCATACACACGCGCAAACACACACACACGTGTGCTCACAAGCACGCGCGCACACACACACACGCACGTTGTGTATTATTATCTGACGCACCGTCTTGTCAACGCGACCCATGACATGACGCAGCCGCCAAGTTATGGCATCGATGGATGATGCGCAGTACGAGCGGTTTGTGGCCTTCAACAACGCGCGCCTCAACAGCAGATCAATGAAAAAGGTGAGGCCACGCGCACAGGGTGCGGATGACACAATGACAAGATCACGTACAGCTGCACAGGGAGGTGACCGTGTCGGGAAGTGCAGCATAATGCCCCAGGCTGTGGCCCAGTGCCTTCTCAAGAGGCGCATCTCCAGTCCCTTGGCCGCATGCTCCCTTGTCCTGCCTTGTGGTAGTCCCCACCTGCTGCACGTTTGCCAGCTACAGCCACCTTTGCGTGACTGCACACCACGCCCACCCCACCCCTTGACTCCTTGTAGCTGCATCCCCAGACCCTCCACCTCACCCCAGATCCTCAACACTCCACCCCCCACCCTGCCACAGCTGGTGTCAACCCTGACGCGCTCCGACAAGGTGGACCCCCTGCTGCTGCTGGCCCTGGGCTCCATCACCAAGGCCTTCCTGGGGGAGCTGGTGGAGCAGGGTGAGGGGGGAGGGATGCTGGGGGCGGGGAGCTGGAGGAAAAGAGGGTTGAGCGCCTGGCCCGCAGTGCCGCGGCTGCTTCCGAATGCTGGTGACGTTTGCGATCCTCTGCCTGCATTCAGCCGTGTGAAGGGTTTCGGGTTTTGCGAACAGCTCTCACATGTGGCGCCTGCACCGGTGGCAACCCCTCGACCGCAGCACGTCTCATTGCAGCTCGCCAGGGCCACCGCGGGGCGCTGCTGCCTGGCCACATAAGGCAGGCATACGCGCGCCTGGAGCTAGACGGACGCACGCCGCATAGGCGCGCGCCGCGCAAGCCGCTGCTGCGATGACGGCGCCGCCATGGCACATCTGAGCATGGCACCTGCCTTGGCTGACCAAGCAGCACTGGTCTTTCAGGCAATGCATGCGCCTGATGGCACGCCTTACGACAGGCTCGGCGTAATCTGCTACCTGCGTCGTCACTATGGAGCCACCCTGCAGTGCACGCACCTTGTAACAAGTTTGGCTGTTACTTGCAACGGTCAATAAAAATTCTCCACCGGCTGTGAACAACATGAGGTGCTTGAGATGAGCCGACTATTCCGCACAGAAGACCCTAAGCAGTCACGGGTAGGCGCTGGTTCTCAGGAACCACCGCATGCGCAGCGCTGCCACCGCCGCTGAGGCGCGGTCGAAGCGCCAGCCTTCACGAGCACAAAGGTTGGGTGTCTAGAAGTCATTCAGTGCCGAGAATTACTCAGGGCATGCGAAGCAGGTTCGCATCAACACAGTTTGTGCACGCACAAGTCATGGGGTTCGTATGCAACCACTTGTCAATCTCCACAAGCCATGCACCATGCCGTGACAATGCCCGTCCAACCAGTCACGTTGGTGAGCGCGTCGCAACAATTGAGAGGTGCCCTTGCCGGTTGCAACGTCACTACTCAGCAAGGGGCAATTTCCACGAGCACGCCCTGCACTCCCAGGGCTTCCACTCCATAAAATCCCACTGCATGCTTGGCCCGCCTGCCGAGCAGCTGTCCTCAAACAGTTCAAGCAACTCCCCTGAAATTTCCAATTCGTCGGCCGCTCCTGGTCCCCATGCAGCCTCTACGACCCTCAGGCGGGGGTGTGCTGCCAGAACGCACAGCAATTCGTCAGGCGGCAATGCCATGTCCCGGAAAACCAGCGTGCGCAGGGATGTCGTCCCGCGGGCGAACCGCAGGAATGGCGCGACGTCCCAGACGGCTGGGTACGTCTCGGGCGACGTAAACAGAGGCACCATCAGCACCAGGGACGCCAGCCGGGGGAGGTGCGCGGCAGCCTCCAGCGCGAGGGAGACCTCCACGGGCTGGTCGTCATCACGCAAGGTGGCTGTCCATGGTGCGAGAGTCAGGCTCACCACCGTCGTCGCGCGTGCCAGCCAAGCAAGGGAAGCGGGGTCGCCCACGTCGACGGGAACTCCGAGCCGCTCCAGCCGCATCATCGCCGCGATTGCGTCCCGCGCCGCCGCCGTGATCCAACCCGGTTCCACGCGCTCCAGGGCCAGCGACCGCAGGCCCGTGAGGCCGGCCAGCAGGGAGGCGACGTCAAACCGGGCGTCGCCACCGCCATCGCCATCGCCATCGCCATCGCCATCGCCATCGTCGTCGCTGTAGACGTCCATGTTCACCTCAAGCCCCAGGTGCTCAAGGGCTGGGAAGCGGGATTTGAAGTGGGCCGTGACAAAGCCCTCGTTTGCCTGGATGAACAGGTGCGTCACGTTATGGAAGGCGTGCGTGACTGGCACCCGCCACGCGCCCCGGTCTGACGTGATGTCGAAGAAAGAGAGCCGCCGCAGCCGAGGCGCGGCATGGGCTAGCTCGTCGGCGGTCGCGGGGGTCAGATCAATCTTTGTCAGCTCCTCGGCCTGTGGGAGGTTGACGCTGAGCCTCGATTTGCCCCCGGTCTGAGAAAGCCACAGCCGGGTCAGCGACGTGAGCTCCAGGCTGGGTTCCTCCCACTGCTCGTCGATGCCGTCGGCGACGAGCTCGGACAGGCACGGCAGACGCGACAAGTGAGCGTATGTCTCGTAGTCGATCACCATGCCGGGCGCGACAACACTCTGCAGGCGGTGGTCCAGCTCCCAGACGGCAAGGACCCCAATCGCGCGGGTGGCGGCGTACGCGTCGTCTTTGGCGTGTTGATGGTAGCGGCCGCCGCCTGCGACGAGGTGAGTCAGGTTTGGCAGGCGCTCCAGGATGTCCTCCAGGTAGTTCCAGTGCAGGCCGCCCTGAACCTCGAGGTGCGTGACCTGCTGCAACAGGCGCTCGAGCGGGCTGGCGCCGCGCACCACCCCACGGCGGCGCTTGCGTGCGCTTAGGATGGTGTCGTCCAGCAGGTGATGCTGCTGCACCACTGTGTCCCATGGATTCGATGACTCTTGCCGCTGTTGCTGCTGCTCCTGCTGCTGCTTTTGCTTTTTCTTTTGCTTCGGCTTCTGCTTTTCCTGCTGCGGCTTTGGAGGCGTGACAAACCAGCCGTCAAACGCCAGGGCCGTGACGGCGGGGAAGCGCGACCAGTCAGGGCGGCCGGCGGCCAGGTTTTGTGGCGAGAGCACTAGCCGTGATGCCAGCTCCTGGCGCGCCGCCTCGTCAAGCGCGCGGCACGCCAGCCTTGCAGCCCGGATGTCGCCCCTCGTTGCGCGACAGCGTTGCGCCAGAGTGCACGGGATGGTGCACCTGCAGTTGTCATCACCGTCCCCATCTGCTGGCAGCAGGTGCCGCAGCACCCGGCCCAGCAGTCCGCAGCCCAATGCATCGAGCAGCATCCCTGAGCCTGCGACATACCAGTGAGGCAGGGATTCAAGTGGCGTATCAGCCGCAGCACACGGGCTGGCATGGACTTTGTGCTTGAACAGCCTGTGGGAGCACGACTTTTACCCGACTCTGCATGTGCTGTAGCGCACACGCTCGGCGCCAAGCGCCCGCCGCGATGAGGAACGTCCGGCCCTCATAATGATGACATCTAGAGATGCCTGAGTCACCTCACCGCTCACAAAACGCTATGGCTCGTTCCACCCCCTCGACAGCGAGAGTGGTGTCTTGGCGCGTCGCTGTCACCGCAGTACAGGTTTTGGCGTTTCAACAAGCTACACGTACAAATGTGACTGCGGGTGACCGCGCTGCTGTGCATCGCACGTGGGCGCAACACCCCGATCCCACAAAGATCGAAAGAGTCATGCAAGCACTCACCAGCGTTGTCAGCAGCAGACTCGGCCGGCTGCGTGACGCCGTCAGCAGGCAGGCCTCCCTGCATTGCATGACAAGCACGTTGCACAGCAGGTTGAAACCTAATTTGCTGTGCTTTCTGGGTTCTGACACACCCCAATATGACTGGTGATGTTTGGGAGCCCAGCGGGGGCGCGGGGGCAGCGCCAGACCGCGAATTGCGGTCAACGCACGAGCTGCTTCAAAACGTGCATGTGCTGCGTCGAATTGATTGTGGGAGTTTCTTTGAGCACCAGTAGGATTCTGCCCCCGCCAAACACGATGACGTGTGTGTGATTTGCGGGCAGCAAGATGACCTGCAGACTGCCCCTGCTGGCATCGCAAATCAATACGGTTCCATGCACCCTCTGCAAAGAATACATTCTGGTGGTGGTAATATAATGCAGAGCGAGGCCCACCGCAAGCACCACTCTGACGAGCAGGGTCGCAAAAAGCGTGCTGCCGCCATCAACACAGGTGGCGGCAGCGCGAGCAGCGCTGATCGGCGCACAAGTGATGGCTGGGCATCCAGCGATGAGCGGGCCCCCAAACGCACCAAGCGCCAGGGAACCCGGGGCCGAGGGCGCGGCGGCAGGGCGCCGCCGCGCCGCCTCACCGCAGGCCGCTCATGATTCATGCTATTATGTTGCTATTCAAGTTGCTATGTCAAGTAGTTATATTGTAGGTCGGTCCAGATCTGTGCGTTGCATTCATCTCATTAGTAATACTTAATCCTGAAGCGTGACTCATGATCTGGGTGACTAATGCAGTGACACGCGGCGCACGAACTTGTGCGCACGTTCGTTTACCCAGCCCCCATTTTTGGCGGCCGCGGCTGCTACCCGCACCCCAGAATTAACTTCGGCTCCCCTAACATTTAGAGAGACGTGGCAAAAACACGCATTACTTTTTCACCTGGGCGGCCCAATGGTGGGTCTTGAGGAGATTTGAAATTGTGGCAACGCAAGCTGAGGATTGGCAACTCACCAGTCCTGCATTGCTCAAATCTGGGCAAACATCCAGGGGTCAAGCAACACGCAAAATCTGTTTGCTGGGTGGCACATGCCCCGGCTGCCCACCAGCGTTGCGTGAGTCCCATGCATTGACAGCTTTTCACGCGCCATCTGTAAGGTGCCAGCACATTGGCAACAGCTGCCATGGCTGGCGGGCGAGCGTGTGCATGGGCCAAGTGCACATGTCAGGTGCAGGCTGCCCGGGGTGATTGCCACAGGCACGCAGCAGGCGTGATGTCCGCCGCGAGTGGAACAGCTCGCCAAGCATCTTGCAGCCCAGAATGCACTAGACTCCTGAGTAGGCCCAGGCAATGAGAGATATTAAATCACAACCATGCCGGCCACATCATGAGCGCAGACCCCACACAGTAGAATTGAAGCAAGACTCAGTGCCACAGAGTTCCAATAGCACGTGCTGCTGCTTTGATCAGACAGCAGGGAACGATTGGGATTGTAACGCACACCCAAGCGAAACCCAGCATGCGTACAGCAGAGGTGAGCCCTTGATAAATCGCTACATGCTTCACGGGCATGGAGGAGCCAAGGGCGAATAGGAGAGTGTGGTGTCAGCACGAAAACCACGTGATGAGGATTACTTGGGCTATCATAACAGCATACAGACAGGCAGATATGGTGCATGCGGATGGATGGCATCATGTAGGTGACACTATCCCTCACAATGAGTCGTTCAGGCAGCAGCTTATCGAGGGCCAGCGCAACAGCGCAGGCGTCCAGGGATGGGTGGCGCGCTGTTCAAGATTACACACTCTAGGCCGTTGGCATGGCCGAGAATCAATTCACTACCAGCTTTGCGCATCTGTATGTACCGAAGCACGGACATAGGGCACAGATTGAGGATACTTGCTGGGAGCGAGCCCCATCCCAATCATGTCGGCGGCGTGCACCACTGGTGGCACCTCCTCTGCCTGGGCGTCACCTTCTGGGCATATCGATACAGGGCAGCCGCGTTCATAAGACGCAGGTTAGCGCTTCAGGCCCTATGATGTTTACAACCGCTCAGTTCTATGCGTTGCAGCACGTGCTCAAAAACCTGCATCAAGTTTGAACTCGACCAGCCCGCGGCCCGAGATGAGCGGCAGCGCCCAAAATAGGATCGTGACATTGGCAAAGCAGCTGCTGAGCCCAAGTAGCTGCGAGCAGTGTGCCAGCTGCACACCCAGTGCAACGGCGCAGGCAAGCAGCGACTGCAATGGCGTTTGCTGCGCATCTGGTGCCGCCCCAAAGCATGCGCCTGGGAAAAACGATGGCAACAGTCCAGGCATGCCGCTCGGCCCCTGGTTTACACATGCAGCTGCGAACACCGCTTCTCGCAGTGCGCCGCAGCGGCAGCACCGCCCTCTGGTCTGGCAGTTGCAGAGGAGGTGGCGGCTGCGCTGCGTGAGGGGCGCCCCGTGGTGGCGCTGGAGAGCACAATCATCAGCCATGGTGGGGCTGCAGAAGCATGGAGTCTGTCGCGGTGGCCTGCTCGATGAGCGCAATGTCAGCGGCGGTTTGGCGGAAGCGTAATGCATTGACCCCCTCCCCCGCCCTTTTGCCACAGGCATGCCCTACCCCCAGAATCTGGAGACGGCACTGGAGGTGGAGGGCGTTGTGCGGCGGGGAGGCGCGGTGCCTGCCACCATTGCCGTCATTGGGGGCCGCTGCTGCGTGGGTAAGATGCGGCGCTGGGTGGATTGCTGGGCAGTCAGAGCTGCCATTTTGCAGAGGAGAAGGGGGGCGATCATCTGAACCGTGTGCATGCTTGCCGGCTTGTGCAGGTGCAGCCGTGCGCCTGACATAGTTGTGTGGCTCAGCGAACCGCGCCAACAGCCTCACAGCCACCAAATTTCAGGTGTCCACCCTTCTTTCCACCTCAACGAACCTCCGCACGGCCCCATGCACTCACACCTGCGAGCAGGGCTGCAGCGCAGCCAGCTTGAGCACATCGCCAGGAAAGGGGCGGCTGTTAGGAAGGTGTCACGCCGCGACCTGCCTCTTGTGATGGCGCGTGGGGCGGATGGGGCCACCACCGTCAGCGCAACCATGCTGCTGGCGGCGCGCGCCGGCATCCGCGTGTTTGTGACAGGCGGCATCGGTGGCGTGCACAGGCGAGCGTTGAGGCACGGGACATGGGCGGGGACTCACTTTGGCCGCAACAGCTTTGGTTTGGTCCTGCATGAAGGTACCCGTATCGTCTGGCTGCCCTGAATCCTGGTGTTGTCACTGTGTCCGATCACCCAGCTTGCGCCCCCCCCCCCGGTGGGCTTCAAGCTCTCGACGTCACCCACATGGCCTCACACCCCATGTTTGCCGCCTGCACTGTCGCACCCATCAGGGGTGGTGAGTCATCGATGGACATCTCAGCAGACCTCACAGAACTGGGCCGCACACCTGTGGCCGTCGTCTGCGCCGGCGCCAAGTCGGTGCGGGGGCAGTGCGCGGCACGGCATGCACTTCACCAGAGGCGCCCGTCCCAGCCGTGGCCAGGGCCCCTCACCTTGCCACTTACCCCAGGGATGACGCGCTGCTTCACGTGCCGCCGCCCCCCCCCGGCGCCCACCCATCAACCC